GCGCCGCCAGTGGCACCAGCACCAGCCCTAGACTCTCCAGCTCCAGAAACACCACCAGCTCCAGCACCACCACCGACTCCAACACCCTCGGGACGTGCAGCTGCGGCAGGTGCACGCTCAGCTCCAACTCCAACACCCCCAGAACCGGCACCGCCAGAGCCCTCACCTCGAGCACCAACACCCTCAGAGTCCACAGTGGCCGGGAGAGGAAGCGCCGACGGCTACTGCGGAGGCTGTGAGGACAACTGTGGGGAAGGAGGAGAGACCTGGGGGGGGACCGAGGGAGGGGGGGTAGCCTGCGACACACCTGACGGAGCGGGAACCGGGGGGGGTACCGGAGGAGAGGGAGCGGGAGGAGGAGGAGCTGGGGCGAGGAAGAGGGGAGGGGGGGGAACCGGGAGACCTCGACAGGGGTACCGGACGTAGTAGGGGACGGACTCGTCGAAACTGACGTCACGAGAGTCAAAGAACTGGTGGGAGGGAGGGTGGTAAAAGGTGAAGTCAGAGGAGGCCTCAGGGAAACCAAGGAAGACACAGGGGACGCCGCGAGGTGAGAGCTTGTCCGCAGAGGTGTCGTGGACAAGCGCCAAGCAGCCCCAGACACTAAACCTCGACGCAACACCAGGGGACCCTGTCCAAAGACTGGTCGGTGAAGCCCCTGGCCGAGAGACGCGAGGCCAGAGGTTCAACTGGTGAGCGGCGTACCGAGCCGCGTAGGGCCACAGAAAATGGGGCGCGCGGGCGTGGATCATGGAGGTGCGGGCAATCTCCATGACCAGGCCTAGCCGGCGCTCAGCAACCCCATTCTGCTGTGGAGAGTCTGGAAGAGTCCAGGACTGGGTGATGCCCTGCTCAGCACAGAATCTGGCGAGAATGCCGGAGCGAAACTCACCCCCACGGTCGGAGTGGAGACAACTGACACGACGACGACGAGTACTCTCGGTGGCGAGCAGCCACCGGATCAGCGTAGAAGTCACGTCAGACTTCTTCGCCAAAGGGAACACGGTGGTGTACCGAGAGTATTCGTCAATGACCACTAGGAAGAAGCTCTCTCGCTCGGGTCCAAGCCGGCGATCGGGGCCCCAGACGTCTAAGTGGAGTGTCTCAAAGGGCTCGGAGGCTGGACGAAGGGAGGAGGAGTGAGGAGTGGCGCGCAGCCGACCCTGGACACAAGGACCGCACGGAGGAGCGGGGGGCGGCGGGAGCGGCGGGAGGTCGCGGGGGAGGCCTAAGACAAGACGCTGACTGGACATAGCGCGGAGACGAGAGAGGGACGGGTGACCAAGGCGGTGGTGCCAGAGGAGGGCAGGGTGGGACAGCGACCAACACAAGCACGACGCAGCCACTAGACCTGGCACAGCTACCTGACTGGACCTGGCTACCTGGTGGGACGGGGGAACCGGACGGGTGTCGGTGTGGAGGGTGTACAGACCAGAGCCCGGATCCTGACGAAAAGTGGCCATAGGGGCGTACGTGTCACCATCCACACAGACTGCAGTGTCACCCGAAGGCTCAAGCCAGACCCCGACGTGCTGTCTCGCCAGAGGAGCCACACCAACCAGGTTCCTAGAGAAAGTAGGAACGTGGAGGCCGGTCAGAGAACCGGAAGGGGCAGCTGGGCACGGGAGGGTAGTGGCGTGAGTCGCAATGACCGGTCCCGAAGAGGGATCGGCCAGTGCTACAGAAACCGGCGCCGAGAGTGGAGTAAGAGTCGTGCTGTCGCGGAAGAAGCACTGCGTCGCTCCGGAGTCCAGTGTGAAGGAGAGCGACGCGTCCGCCGAGGGAGCACCTGTACTAGTAGCTAGACAGGATCCTACACCAGCACCTACTCTAGCAAAAGGCAAAGATCCTACGCTAGGTACAGGCAAGTAAACAGATCCGACAGCACTATAGTCAACATCAGCATACATGGCATAAGACCTAGCATCATCCATAGACATATCAAACACAACAACACCACGAGCAAGGAGTGGTCCCCAGCGCGGTGGCGGGGGAGCGGAGGGACCATGGTGCAGGACGTACAGGTCATCAAGACGGCTGAAGCAGCGTGCAGCAGAGTGGTCAGGGCGGCCGCAGTACGTGCCCCTGCGCGGACCCGTCAGGATCCAGTACGCACAGGGACCAACGTCGCGGCCGGCCGAGCGGGGTCCCCGACTAGAAGGGGCACCACTGCGCCTAGTGCTCGGGGGGCCCGTAGGTCTCCACTGCTGCGGGGGGGCCCACTGCTGCGAAGGGCCCCACTGCTGCTGAGTGCCCCACTGCTGCAGAGTGCCCCACTGCTGGGGCTGTTGCTGAGGCGGACGCTGCTGTTGGCCCTGGCGCTGCTGCTGCTGTCCCTGCCGCTGCTGCTGTCCAGGCGGTGGCAGCTGCGGAGGAGTCTGCTGCTGCTGCTGCGAAAACCCCTCACCACCGTCTAGAGGAGAGCCGTCAGGTCCCGAGTCACCCCCGCCGCCACCCCCGCCACTAGTACTACCGCCACCGCCGCCACCCGCAACACCCCCAGAACCCCCGCCGCCCTTCCCTCCCTTCTTGCCGGACTTGCCACGTTTCTGTCCGCCAGAGACAGAAACGGCCGCCGTCTCCTCAGAGGCAGAAGACGCGGCAGTGGCAAGCGAGGCAGTGAAGGTGGGAAGCTGTGGTACCGCACACCCCTCAAAGAGACGAGGAGGAGGCGCAGAAGAGGCGGAGGCAATAGCGAGGAGGTTACTCTCGATCTTCGAGAGAGCGGTCTCAAGAAGATCGATAGTAAGCTCAGTGGGGTGCTTCAGGAGAAGCGCATCGCGGGCTGTGGCTAGACGGTCAGGGAGGCGAGTGACTAACCAGTGAATAGTGAGCCACATGGGGGAGGGGTGCAAGGGCAAGCTGTTCCTTAGTGCAAGCGGCCTTGAAGCGAGCTTCAAGGGAGCGCAGGTGGGTAGCGAGGTCAGAGACAGTCTCAAAGGAGGCGAGGTCAGGGTAGATAAAGGGGACGAGGAGGCGGCTGAGGGAGGCAGAGGAGGGAGTGGAGTAGCGAGCAACAATAGCAGTGTAAAGGTCTGCAGCAGACTCGACCTGAGTGAAGTGGACAGCCTAAGTCGGCGGGAGAAGGTCGGTCAGGGCGAGGCAGGGAGCAGCGTCACGAGACTCCCACACGTCACGAGCGAGGAACCGGCGCTGGTACTCAGCCTCCTTCTCGGAAGTAGGCGGTGGGGAAGTGGGCAACGGTGAAGGCTGCGGCGGGGCGGGCAGAGCACCGGACGCATGCGCAAACAGGTGCACGCCATCCTGGCGCTGGCTCCTAAGGTGGCGCTGGGCCTGCGTCAGCCAGATACTAAAGTCGATCGCACGCCCCTCAGGGTCGAAACGGAGCACGCGAGACGTCGCCATGAGGGGCGAGGACAAGTGATAGCGGCCGCCAGCCGCGAGAGGAGGAGGAGAGGGAGGTGAGTGCGAGGCGGGTGCACGCAGGCGGGGCGCGCACTGGCTGGGCGCGGGGCGGCGGGGCGCGCGCTGGTGGGGCGCGCTCCGGCGCGGCGCGCTGGCTGGCGTGGCACGCGGGCGCGGCGCGCTGGCGGGCGGCTAAGCAGGGCGCGCGCTGGCGGGGCCCGCTGGCGTGGCGCGCTGGCGGGCGCGCTAGCGGGCGCGCTGGCGTGCGTGCTGGCGGGCGCGCTGGCAGGCGAGCCGGCGGGCTCGCTGGTGCGCCCGCTGGCGGGCGCGCTGGCGGGCTGGCGTGCAAGCGGGCTGGCGCGCAGGCTGGCTGGCGCGCTGGCTGGCTGGCGGGCTGGCGCGCTGGCTGGCTGGCGCGCTGGCTGCTGGCGCGCTGGCTGGCTAGCTGGCGCACAGGCTGCTGGCGCGCTGGCTGGCTGGCGCGCTGGCTGCTGGCGCGCTGGCTGGCTGGCGCGCTGGCTGGCTGGCGCGCTGGCTGGGTGCCTGGCGCGCTGGCAGGCTGGCGCGCTGGCAGGCTGGCGCGCTGGCTGGCTGGCGCGCTGGCTGCTGACGCGCTGGCTGGCTGGCGCGCTGGCTAGCTGGCTGGCGCGCAGGCTGCTGGCGCGCTGGCTGGCTGGCGCGCTGGCTGGCTGGCGCGCTGGCTGGCTGGCGCGCTGGCTGGCTGGCGGGCGCGCTGGCTAAGGGCGGGGAGGGGAGGGGCGCGCCGGCTGGGGCGTGGGGTAGGGCGCTGGCGGGCTGGCAGGGCGCAGTGGTAACCCTAGTGGTAGGGAAGGGCGGGCCTAGGACTAGGAGCGCTAACCTACTGCTGATACCATGTCAGAATGAGAACTACAGCGGAATGCGTTGTATTGACAGAATTGGGGTACATAACCTAACCCTAACTAGTTGTACCCCACATAGCCCAACCCACTACAAGCTATAATATTTGACAGGGTGTACTCTGAGGCGTCAGACTACCTCAAAACGACTCTAGGGGCCTGACCCTGAGCACTTAGGGTCCCTTGGGGCTGTAACACTGATCATCAAGGTTGCCTGTGGAGAAACACTGATTTCTCAGGGTTGTTCAAAAAGAAACACTGATCAAACAGGGTGCCTTGTAAGAAAACACTGATCAGTGAATCTACAGCCACAATTAAAATAACTTAAAAAAAAAAAAACGAATCTCTTTGTGCCGTTTGGATCAGATTGGACAGCCAATCTCTTTGCGCCGTTTTGCCTACCCAGCACGAAATACCCCGTTCAGCTGTATCTGGGCGAGCCGCATGGTGGTGTCGGTGCAGGGTGGGTACATGAATGATGACGGTGCGCAAAACAGCGAGCATCATGGAGTTTTTGGTTTCAGGGTCGTCTCCGATACAACACTGATTCGTCAGTGTCGTCAAACAGGAAACACTGGAAAATCAGTCCTTGGAAACATAAAACACTGATTCATCAGGGTTGTAAAAAGAAAAAGGCTGATAGATCAGGGTCACAAGAAAAAACTGGGGTCAAACTTCAGGAAATCAGGGTAAAATTCCTGAAATCTGAGGCCCTGAATGTGGTGTATGCATGTGCTATTCACATGTTTCACACATCTAGAACCAATCCGGCTCGTTTTCAAATTCCTCTGCTATCATCTCTCTGTAATCGTCGAAGGCATCTTCAAATGCGTCATAATCGCCATATTCATCCTCCACGACACCGTCGTCCATGTCATTGCCGTCCATGTAATCGTCAAACATGTCATCAAAATCCACGGCATCGTCGTCCATGTCATCCAGCAAGTCATCCCAGTCCTCCATGCCATCAAAGGCAGAGCGCCGTGACTTGTACAAACCAAACAAGTGACCCTGTCCATAAATAATGAAATGTAGGAGAGAAGAAGACCATGCGTCAGAGAATGAACACACTATTTAAAGTAAGGCACAGAAAGGAAGGTGTATTGAAGGTCGTTATCGGATGGTGTGAGGCACGAGTGAGGGCACACCACACACCTGGGTGCAGATAAAGCAGCACACATCGCCCTCAGCACAGCCCAGCACAGTGTGAGCTGCAGGTTGCAGCAGAGCAGTGGCGTTCCATGCCTGCCATCAACGCACATGGCACATTAAGGAGGGTGGACACGGGGGCACTGCAGGCTGGAAAGCCCATCATGGGGTCCATGCCTATACTCCCAATACCGGCCCTCCAGTGGCAACAGAGGTTTCCGGCATGGCATGGCAGGGTACCAGGACAGGGCAGGGCGGCACGGCATGGCATGGCATGGCATGGCATGGGTGCTGGTGACACACCTGGCCATGGCAGAAGGGGCACATGCCTTGGGCAAACGGCTGGCCTTGCAGCAGCCAGCGGAATCTGGAGAAGAGCCATGGGTGGACGCACTGAGGGGGGAGTTATGCGGCACTATTCACTATACATAATTAGGCGGTTAGAGGCAGTGAGTGACAATGACAGGCGCAGCTGACATGGCAACACTCACCACACAAGCCCTCACAGCCAGGCCACACACCCACCCACAATCACCATTGCTCACCGTGACTGCCTGAACCCTGCAATTGCTCCCCGCACCACACAGCAGTGATCCATCCCCCTCCAATGCGCCCCACACCCCCTTGTCCGCATCACCACAGCTGCACCCTCCCCCACTTCTCCCTTTCCCACTTCTCTCTCCCCCAATTCTCCCTCCCCCGCTTTGCTTTCCCTTATTTCTCCCTCCCCCACTTCTCGCTTCCCCAATTCTCCCTCCCCCATTTCTCCCTCCCTCACTTCTCCCTCCCCCACTTCTCCCTCCCCAACTTCTCCTCCCCCAACTTCTCCCAGCGTTACTTCTTCCGCCCTTCCGTCCCGCCTCACTCCCCCTTCATCCTCCACTGCCTGTTCCTCTCCCAATGAGGAGCATGGCGGCAGGGAGGGAGTGGAGGTGGTGGCGGGTGGGAGAGAGGTGCGCGGAGGAGTGAAGCCAGGAGGAGGTGATAGGAGGAAGGAAGGGGCGGGGAGGAAGCACTCGGGGCAGAAGAGCTGAGGGGCGAGGTCGGAGCAGAGGGAGCAGAGGTCGTCGAGATGAGGGGCGACTGGAGGAGGAGAAGCAGCGGATGCGGTGGGCAGAGAGGGATTGGTGTGAGGGGTATCAGTGGGAGCATCCCGTTCTCCACCGCGCTCACTGCCACTCGCGCTAGTACCGCGGTTGCCTCCGCCTGCTGCCTCACTGCGCATGACCTCCCCCGCGCCTCCCCCCGCACCTCTCTCACGCTCTGCCCGCGTACCCTCCTCAACCCCCTCGTTGCCTCCTACACCGCCCCCCCTCAACCCGTTTTCGCATCTTCCCCCCGCCGCGCTTCCCTCTACCCCATCCGCTTCCCCGCGTGCTGCATCCGCCCCTGTAGCTGACCCCCCCACCCGCGGCACTGGCGGCGGCCTCGGCGCATCCACTCCCAGCGCGGCGGAGCACGCGTGCGCCATGCCCGGGCACGCGCTCACGCAGCGCGCCAGACTGCTCGCCGCGTTCCGCGGGGCGTCGGTGCTGCCCGCCTCGCGCACAAGGCGCGCAACCACCGCCGCCGCCTCGCCCTCGTCGGTACGCGCGGCGCGCGAGAGGCAGTAAAGCGGCCAGAGCTCATCGCGGGAGACACGCGCGAAGGCGCGGGAGAGCGAGGCGAGACGGGCGATGGTGGGAAGAAGATCGCCGGTTGCGTCGGCCACGCGGAGCAACACATGGCCGTCTAATGCGTCCATGCTCGTGCGATCGCGACAGATTAATTCAAGCGCGGGAGAACTGGGACATTAACTCATGCGTACAAGCCTCTTTGTACCTATCGTCGATCTTTGTTAGAGTGCAGTTGAGGGAGTGTAATGAATGTGGAATAATATTACTCGAGGCCGACACTAGCAAGGACGCCCCAAAGGCATCGTGTCAGTTGGGTTGGGTGTAGCGCGCAGAACCCAGTCCAGGAGCTGCGCGTTAGGTCGTCTGTTCAAGAGTTAGCGGCACTGCACCGCATATCATCTAACAATAGATACATAACACAGGAACAGCATAACAAGGACAAGGCAAGGAAGAGAATAAACAAACCAAAGAACATGCACGCCCACACACACAAAAAACCATTACATCAAGCCCCACCCCCATTTTTCTTGACCCCTAGATTTATAATCCACGGGGATAATACACATGTACATAAGTACGAGTCAACTTCGCCCGGATGTAAACTTCGTCCGGCGCAGCCGACCAGAGAAGTTTGAGCAACGGCTAGAGCCACACCTGGCTTGGCAGGCCGGCCAGGACCCAGCCCGTCACTGGCCTGCATGTCACAAGTGTGAGCCCAACCAGCCTCAGCCCGGCCCCTGCCCAGTCCCTGCTCATGTCTGGCTTAGAGGGATGCATGTAGCAGCAGCTGTGCCTGCCGTGTACCCTTCATAGCATGCACACTGCGGACCAATCTTGTCATGATCTATGTAGCAAACGCCATGGCCGCTGCAATAAGGGGTGCCCAGATAGCTCCAACAGAGGGAATCGCACTCGTATTTGGTCTTCTGTGTCTGGGTGCTGCCACACAGGACTGTGTTGCTGCCCAGGCAGTTGGATCCCAGAGAGAGGCGGAACTTGTCGCACAGCAGGTGGATGTCGGCAAGAGAGGTGCCTGCAATGCCTGTGAGGTAGTTGTGGTCCGCACCGACGTGCCACAGAGAGTTCATGAGGTGCAGCGACGGCACACTCCCCGCCAGCTCGTTATAACTTACATCGCTGAGGGAATGGGGATGGGGAGAGGCGCAGGGGTGCCTGTGATTCGATAACAGCTGACTGACAAGTGGGGGATTCACAAGGAAAACAGGACGACTGGTGCAGCAAGTGAAATGGGTAATTGAGAAAGGCAGTGGGTGTGGCAATGATGGCAAGGTTGCACTGACAAGAAGTCAAGACCAGTGAGTGCGCTAAGTGCAGCATGTATTGTCCCCTTAAGGCGGTTGCGAGATAAATCCCTGCAGGTGGGCAAGCGAACAGAATAAAGGTAACAACTCAAGCATGCTTGGGCACAGCATGTTCTAATCGGCACGACCAAGCATTCACAGTGGCACACAACGAGGGGCATATGCACGTGGTGGTGGTATGCGACGTGAGGCAAGGTGAGCGCTGTACATGGCAATGTAATGATAGAGTCTTTGCACTCATAGGGAATATAGATTGCTGAGTGCGGTGAGTGCGTCAGAAATGGTCCTTCCAAAGCGGTTGTCAGACAGATCCCTGCAGGTGGGCGAAAGAACAGATTGTTCATACAAGCTCACCAAGGGTGCTTTCGGCAGAACATGTGGTCACTGGTGTTCTTGTGAAAACATGGCTTACATGAGACAGCCTCACAACCATGCGCTCACTCATTGTAAGGAAGAGCACCCTGCCTAAATCCCTGCACCTTCCACTTCCTGCACTCTCATCCCGCCTCCCTCTTGTTGCAATTGCAATAAATAAATAAATAAATGGAAAAATATAAAAACAAACAAACAAACAAACCCGCGGGCAGAGTGAGGTAAGGGGAGAGTGAGCGCACAGGGAAGCGAGGCGGGTGAGCCTGGCCAAGGAGGTAGGGATTGTTCCTGCCAGCCTGTTGCGCTTCACACTCCTGCCAAACCCAGGATGGCATGGAAAAGAATCGTCCATAATCCAAGGATATCTGCGCACACCTTTGATTTGAATTCTTGAATCTATGTTTCCTATTCCCAAACAAGGAGCGAAAACTGGTGAGCATGAAGGCACAATCCGGTCTACCATAAACAGATATACTAATCACGTGATTGTGGTGCAACTGTGAGGTATCAATGGTGCATAGCAGTGCGTTTTGCACTTACAGTCTGCTCAGGTTGGTGAGGTGTGCGAGTACAGAGGGAATGGGCCCTGAAAGCCGATTGTAACTGAGGTCCCTGCAATAATACATGGCACAGCGTGGTACACTTGTGTGATTGGATGGGTGTGATAGTGAGGTAGAGAGAGCGTAGAATCTTTTTGTCCGGTGCACACGTGGGTGGGAAGAGGGGTGGAGGGGAAGGATCAATGTAATACATGGAGGGACACGCAGGGTCCCTTCTCATGCCATGTTGTCCATATTATTTTCTCGAGCAGCGCCTAAAAGATTCTGACTGCATATAGCGTGTTAGCTAGCGTATAGAGTTTTGAGTACAAACGCAAGCGTATAAACGGTATACGCTTTAGGGTCTGACCGCATATTCCAACATGGCATGGAATGGCATGGCATGAGGAGACATCCTTTAAGCCAAGGGCTCAAGCAAAGGGTTCCTGGGTCCGAGTTCCACGTTCACCCAACATAGAAACCGGTTGCCGGTGAAAATGGTTGCAGCAGGAAAAGCATAAACCCTGACCTGCAGGGTAAAAAAAAAGGGGGGGGGTCGTATTCTATAACATTTACTATTTAAACGGTCGTTCAAAATGGTTTGAAACGGTTCCAGGAGGTGCTCTCTATTTCTTTAACAAAACGGCCACTTTATGGGACGAAATTGGACCCGAAATTCAGCAAGATGAAGGGAACGGACCCCTTCTTGCTCTTGTGCGTTTGTTGGCATGATTGAAAATGTGCTTGAGCTTGTTTTCTCTTGGCGAACAGAGTTCTCTAACAAAAAAACGGCTGTTTTTTTTTCTCTCTCTCTTTCTCCTCTAATCACTGTAAATAACGACCGCAATAAACGGACTGTATTTTACGAAAACCGTATATTTAACCGTGCTGACCTGAGCCATTAAGCTGCGGGACAGGCGGGGGGGCCACTGTGGAACAGGCAGGAAGCTAGGCTGGTTGCTCACATGAGCCATAGACAACAAGATGTCTGCCCTCTCAACCATCTGCTCGTGCCTACCCATTCCCATCCCCACTCCCACTCCCAGTGACAAGCAGTGCCCTTGCGCCAACACAGCCCCCCTGGTGACCAGTGAAATACACGAATCTTTCCACGGCGTGCACCGTGCCCACCTGGTAGGCTGGTAGCCTCACAATGCTGCACTCACTCTCCACGAGCCACATGGGAAATGAGTGGACGTACAGAGCAGAGAGACGGGTGAGTCGCGACAAGGTGGTTGGGATGGTGAAACTCAATTCGTTGTCGTCCAAGCCCCTGCGATCGGATGCAATGGGATAGCATGGGATAGCGGGATGGGACGGCACGGGATGGGTTAAGATGGGATGCAAGGGGTGGGATGACAATTTGTTGGCTTCACACTATTGCATTTCATGCCACGCCCATGCTCTAGTTTAACCAACTGTGAGGTACAAAAGCACATTCTCTTGGACTGTTGGTCGGCGCACAAAAGTAAGTGACGAGTGATCTGTTCTTGGCATTGGAGCCGAACAGCTGAACCTGCAAGCGATCCTTTTGTGTGCCACCCTCCCTTACAAGCTTGCCAGGTTTGTGAGGCTCCCAAGTGATTTGGGGATGGTCCCGAAGAACTTATTCTTACTTAGGTCCCTGCAATAGCACATGTGGTGTGGCACAGGGCGATGCATCATTGGCCAGCGGGAAGAGAATATTGTGTTGTGACGCATGGTGGTGTGGTGTGGAGGATGTGAGGGAGAGAAGGAGGAAACACAAGCTTGCAGCAGAAGTGCGAGAGAAAAATGGATATGGTAAGGAGCAGAGGATGCGGAAGATATGGGCAGAGGGTGCATGCATGGACACAGGGAGAGCGGGACGGATGGTCTTTCAAGGCACTCCAAAGATGGCAAGGCAAGGCAGAGGCTCGTGTGGCACAGGTGATGAAGGTGCATGATATGTACGCACTCATAAACTTGTTTCCCTGCCCCACCATGCCCCACCATGCCCACATCCTGCCCCTGCCATGCTCCCACCATGCTGCAAGAGAGCATGCATGCCCCACATGCCTCAAGGCAAACTCACAGGAGGGTGAGGTTTTTGAGATTGCCAATGGTTGCTGGGATGGTGCCGTTGAAATAGCTGTGGTAAAGGGATCTGGTGCATGCATGGTGCACATATGGCAGATATGGCAGTGGTGAGAATGATGTGCGGCTGGCAGATGAGAGCAAAAAGCCCGTGATACAACGCACGCTCCATGAGCAAGGCAGAGCATGGCACGTGGCAGGTGGTGCATGGCGCACAGTGCAGGACAACATCGCACTACGCCATGGCATGGCATGGCATGGCAGGTCACATGTTACAAGGCAGCACGCACAGGACTGTCAAGCTTGTCATGCTGCCTATCCACTCTGGCAGCTACCCGGCCCACCATGAATACGTCATGTGCCTGGCAGCGCGTTGGGCAAGGGTAGGGGCATGGAGGGAGGGGTGGGGGAGCACAGGGAGTGGTGCTGGTTGCCATGGGAAGCAGTGCAGCCAACCAGACTGATCGCCACTTGCATGCAATTAGCGCCACCCAGAGCCCCAAAGTTGTTTCCTCTCAGACAATGCATTCAGCAAACGGATAAGAGTGAAACAATCACACAAACGCAGCACGGGCATACGGATTTCCGAGCGGGGAGTGTGGAGTGTGCGCGCGCTCACCACTCGGTGAGCTTCTTGAGGCGTGACAGCTCGGACGGTAGCGACCCGGCGATGCGGCTGTAGTCCAAGTTCCTGCACGCCCACCCCGTGCACCCCCGCTTGCCTTAGAGCTCCGCCAGTGCTAGGATCATGGCGATATTCCTTACAGGGGGTCGGACGCGTGGGCTTGCAACACAGAGCATGAGGAGACTTAAAGTAAGACACGAAAGTGGGCAATAGACCAGGTGGGCTTTAGTGGCAGGGGGCTAGGCAAGGGGTGTAGGAGTGTAGGGAGGGCGAACTGAACATGAGGAAAGTGTGACGGGGGTCATGGACGCAGTGGTAGCCGGGACAACGCAACAAGTGCTGGGCGTGATGTATGTGCATGGAATGACGATTATCCTCGCTCCACTCGCCTCGCCCTCATTGCAACTCACAGCATTTCAAGGTTGCTGAGATCGCCCAGGAGCGCAGGAACGTCATGTGTCCAGAAATTCGCCCCCATTGATATGATGCCCACACATGGCATAGCCGCACAGGGGAGGACAGGACGGGAGCACGCAGGGTAGCCATGGAATCAGAAAGACCGAGGTTGGAAACAAGCAAGGACGATTGCGATGGGGAAAATCAGTGCATAACGGTGAGGGTTCCGAGAGGTCAAAGTGCCAACAGGTAAACTTCCTTGGAGAACGTTGGAGGGTAGAGGGAGCAGGTGAGGGCAGGGCACACACAGGTGCTTGAGGGCAGTTAAGGTGGTGAGCACGGTGGGCAGCCCTTCCAGGCGGTTCATGTTCACGTGCCTGCACGGCACGCGCACACACACACACACACTGCACGGGCGGGAAGGCGGCATGCGAGGGAGAGGGGATGGATGGTGTCGGCAAGGGGGAGCATCCATGGGCACAGCATGGGAGCCCACATACGTGCAGGCAGTAGAAAGGCCCGTGGTCATGCCAGCACACGTGCCATGGTCATGCCAGCACACGTGCCATGGTCATGCCAGCACACGTGCCATGGTCATGCCAGCACACGTGCCATGGCCATGCAAGCATACGTACCATGCCATGCCAGCACACGTGCCATGGCCATGCCAGCACAAGTGCCATGGCCATGCCAGCACACGTGCCATGGCCATGCCAGCACACGTGCCATGGCCATGCCAGCACACGTGCCATGGCCATGCCAGCACACGTGCCATGCCATGCCAGCACACGTGCCATGGTCATGCCAGCACACGTGCCATGGCCATGCCAGCACACGTGCCATGGCCATGCCAGCACACGTGCCATGGTCATGCCAGCGCACGTGCCATGGCCATGCCAGCACACGTGCCATAGCCATACCAGCACACGTGCCATGGCCATGCCAGCACACGTGCCATGGCCATGCCAGCACACGTGCCATGGCCATGCCAGCACACGTGCCATGGCCATGCCAGCACACGTGCCATGGTCATGCCAGCACACGTGCCAGCACACGTGCCAAGGCCATGCCAGCACACGTGCCATAGCCATACCAGCACACGTGCCATGGCCATGCCAGCACACGTGCCATGGCCATGCCAGCACACGTGCCATGGCCATGCCAGCACACGTGCCATGGCCATGCCAGCACACGTGCCATGGTCATGCCAGCACACGTGCCAGCACACGTGCCAAGGCCATGCCAGCACACGTGCCATAGCCATACCAGCACACGTGCCATGGCCATGCCAGCACACGTGCCATGGCCATGCCAGCACACGTGCCATGGCCATGCCAGCACACGTGCCATGGCCATGCCAGCACACGTGCCATGGCCATGCCAGCACACATGGTAGCCGCCTGGCTCTGCGGAGGGACGTCAGCACTGCCCTGGCACATCATTCCAGTCCAACCACCCCACTTGCACTTCTAACGCCCTCCCTTGCTTGATTCTTTCCGCCCCTCCCCACCCACCCATCCATCCACCTACCCAATCTGCATCCCCACACACCCACCATCCACCTACCAGCCCCCCCACCCACACAACTACTCACCCACCCATCCGTCCATGCACCCACCCATCCATCCACCCACCCACCCATCCACCCATCCAGGCACACAATGAAGTGATCCGGGTGTGGGCGTGCGGGGCACTCACAGAGCGGTGAGGTCATTGAGGGCACTGAGTGCGGCGGGCACGCTCCCCATCAGCATGTTGTAGCTCAGGTCGCTGGTGCTCCTACAGGGGATCGCAAAAAGCAGGGGGGGAGGAGATAGTGGGTGCAAGGCATGGCATGCACACGACACGACGTGGGTGGGCCATTGTGGTACGCACAGGGCACCCATGGGTGCACAAGGGATGACGCCGTTTGGCCGACAGTGGAAGTGAGTGCGAGCGCATGATGAAGAGGTGACGGGGGTGATGGAGAGTGCTTGCACACACATGATGCAGAATCATGAAAGCAAGCTCCTCCAAACAGAAGAGGGATGGGAGATGCAGAAGAGAGAAGGGCATGGAGAGGAGAAATTGTTGGGACAAATGAGAGAGGGAAGGAGAGCTCACAGGTGCCTCAGCCAGGTGATTCGAGAGAGGCTATCTGGAATGCCGCCATCAAACCCATTGGCGCCCAGATTGCTGCTCACGGGCACACGGGTTGGGTGATGCATGGTGACGGTGAGAGTCGTGTGTGAACGACAACAAATGAAGCAGATACTTGTGATGTGCTGCGTGAGATAGGCTCCATGGCATGGCATGGCAGCATGGTATGGTGTGTGAGAGAGGAAGGGCAAGAGTGAACGTTGACGCGGAAATGACCGGAGCAAGGATGTAGGGGTGAGACAGATGGCACGAAGGATGTGTGAGGACGGGAAGGTGAAGATGGCTGGCTGGCTGGCTGGCTGGCTGGCTGGCTGGCTGAAGCTAAGGCTGGCACGGCCAAGGTAGTGTGCGGTGGAAAGGTGCACGTGGTGACTCACATGGTTTCCAGGGCACTTGAATTGGTGTGATCGAAGGACTGCCACAATGGGCCGAACATGAGGCACGTTGACAGATTCCTGCTCACATGCACCAAGCATTCACACACCCCGCATGCAGGTGCGAACAATCCATGCCAATATTCCATGCCAATCGTATCCATGCATGCAGCATGATTCATGTGCGTCCATGCCCAACGCTCCACGCATATGTAGCAAGCACAAGGGTGTGTGGAGGCGTGAGGAGACAACAGCTGCTGGTTGAAGACGCACTACATGGGCGCAGCATGGGCGCATGGCGAGCAAGCACATGGCAGCGGATGCCTCACAGGTGCTTGAGGTTGGGCATGGCGAGGATGGCCGGTGGAAATGCAACGCGCACATCGCTGCGTGTGATACTCCTTCACACACGCGTTTGGGGGGGACGCGTGGTAGAGGACAGGAGGCGCACAAAAGGAGCATTGGGAATATAAGAGAAATGAGGGAAGTTGAGAGGTGAAGCAACGTGCGTGTGGTGCATATGAATGGATGTGAACAGTGGACAAAACTGGGTACTTGACGCGAGACAACACTGACAGCGAGCCGCTTCGCACAGCAGCAACACATTGCAATGCATGTACAATAGCCATGCGAGGCACGCGCAGCGCAGGGCACTCACAGCGACGTCATGTGGTGGAGCTGCACAATGCACGTGGGAATGGTGCTCACACCCTGCACGTCACTGCCACGGGCACGCACGGGATGGGATCATGGGAGCAACAGTTGAGAGGTTGGAAGGGGGGAGTGAGCGTAGGCGAGGTGCTGGAGTGTGCAGGATGGGAAAGAAAGATGCCACGCGCCGTGGCACATGCGGCGGCGTGGGATGGCATGGTGCTCACATGGCAACGGCGTGGCCCTGCGCGTCGCAGCGCAGGCCGGGCATGGTGTCGCAGTCCCTGCCGCGCACCCACGTCTTGCACGCCGCGGTCCTGTTCCACGCCGCCGCCAGCTCCGCCACCACGCCCACTGCCGTCCACCCATCATGCCATCGCATGCCACCATGCGCATACCATGACATGCCGTACCATGCCATGCCATGCCAAACATTCAGCCAATGTGTGGGGAGAAGTCAGTGAGAGAAGTAACGTGGGAGGCAAGTTGCAAAGTGAATAGTGCACATCGGCCGCGTAGCACTGTCGTAGTCACCACACCAGCAATGGCACAGGTGCATGCACCCCGCGCCTTGCGGCCAGCACGGCTTACTGTCAGGGTCCACCACGGGTACAACTCGTGCGAGGGGCGGCATGCAGCAGCGCGCAACCACCAGCGCCAACACCGCCGCCCTCGCCGCCATGACGCCCCTCCCCATCGTCGCCTGCGCCGCGCGCAGCGCGACCTGCGTGTGCGAGCCCAGGCGGGCAGAGGAGATCGGCGGCGCATGCCGTTCACGGCGGGAGACCGCCGTGTTGCCATCGCGGAAAAGGCAAGTGCCAAAAAAAACTTTAACATGGCTTGATCGTAACTTTCCAGTTGCATTCGCCTCGCAAAAAAAACGTTTGACTCAGCGACAGTGGTAGCGTCAGTAACTGCATCCGTAACCTTTCCGTCACTTTGTGTCAACACGGTGTGCAGATTCCCGCATCCGGCACGCAAGTGTCCGTGCAACTTTACGAATGGCATACAGTAACCCCGTGCGTAACGGTTGCATTCACGATAACGTTGCCAAAACACCACCCATCACACAAACCTCCAAGCAACCAAAACATGCGGGGACATACACGTGCCCATGTGTACGTCAGTTACAACCGTACCTGCCACGTAAGCGTACACCGCCAATACCTCCCGAACCTACCATGGCCGCGTGATTTCGCACCACAACATCAAATCCGCACCGTTCACGTGTAATGCGCTCCACAAGTCGCCCTACAAGTTACACTTTCGCCAACCCGCGCAATTGCGTTGATTTGGGACCATAGTCTACATCCAGGCCGTACATTTCTGTCGCGTTGAATGCCGCGCACCACTGCGAACCCGCCACGTGCAACCCACTCCGTTTCTCGACACAGAATACCCACGCGCCTGTACATAACCCGCACGTCCCACATGTCTTCAACACCCATCATCGTACTACGTATAACCTCATCCCGCAGTGACTTCGCGAGTGGCGCCCATCCAGTTGTATACGATGATGGCTCCTCGCCCAACACTCGAGCAACAACTCAAAGGCCGCCACGTAACGCAGACACTTTACGGAAATCGGCCCTGGAATCGCTTATGCGTGTGCCTGCAACCCCACACGGCTCCTACGCGTCACACCACCTCGTGCACGTGTCGCCCTGTCGCCATATCGCACCGCTTGTAACATCATCGCCTGCACCACACATCCTGCTTCGCACAAATCCCGGCATCATGAGAGGCGTCCACGGTGGATAGATACGAACCAACCTTACAACTACACGCGTCACCTTTACACCTGTCATAAACGCCACCTTTGACCAACACGCCAAATGCGTGCCGACACCTGCACTCATCATGTACCGCATATTGTGCCTCGTCAACCTTTTATGCCAATCATGGCAACCCGCGTGTTGCTCACTGTATGGCCGGGCAGGTCGATCATGTTTGCTCCGACAAATGCGGCGCATTTCACAAGCGCTTCATTTTTTACACTCATTTGGTCGTTTCCACACTCTCATCCCCGCGCAGTATTTTCGTACAAAAAGCACCAAAACCATGTCCACTATCCTCGCACAAAACATGCAACACAATATATTTACGACAAGCGTCTACCTGCCTGCAAACACCGTACACATTGGCCAACTTCTAGCACACAAAAAAAACCCAAACACGGTTGATAAAAACCAAAAGCGCACACACAACCCCGACCTCTCCGCTCCAGTGCAGGTCTATGCCCTCCATCATCCCGGCCTCCACCTCCCCGCTGCTCTACATGTCCCCGACTGACACCGACTGCACATCATTCCCGGCGCCTTCTGCGCCCCTAGCGCCAGCATTAGGCTTCATGTTCTCGAGACCACAGGCAGAAAGGCGGAGACCATGGCGTCCCCAAATCCATTCCTCCTTCTCGTTGTCGTACTCGGGATTGAAGTGACTGATGGCCTGTGAAACAGAGCCCTTCACAAGCACCTTGAGCCCGTTCACGACGTGGCCGTTCTCCCCGGCCGAGTTAGAGAGGCGGCCCATCCTCTGCTCCCAATACATAATGCTGTCGGACACCTGAAAGGAAATACACAACGCGCACGCCTTTTAAGGCTACAGCCATACTCAAACTAACCACCAAAGTCAAACAATGTCACTCACCACGTGCTCAAGCCACGCAAAGTGGTACACCTTCAAAGTGAGCGGCAGTGCAGGCTTCTTCGGAATGAAGGCTGCCTTTGCGCACGCCGCAAAGGCGGCAGACGCAAATGGCATCCCCTCGCGGTCGTTTGACCAGTTGCTCAGCACCAGATCTGTACATGGGGCCACGGATATAATGGTGGGGTTCATAGACTACAACGCACATAAAGAGTGTCACTCACCATAGTGTATAAGCACAAGAACACCGCTTACCGCTCTCCTCCGCACCAAGCCTAATGCGCTCCCGAATCTGCTCCAGCGTCCGTGCGTTGTCCCTTGCCCACGGGCTTGCCTCGTCGCGCTCATCACGGAAGAATCCAAGCTTAGGGAGCGCAATGTCCCGGACCCGTCCAGGTGCCCTTGTCTTCCACTCGCTCAGCGTCTTGTTGAGGTCAGCACGGCGGGACTTGTCCGCCGCAAGCGCAAGGCACGCGAAGCTATGAGGCAGTCTGTCAATCACTGCGCAAACGCCATATGTCTTGTCGTCTGAGCTTGGATAGAACGTCATGGTTGCGGCCGGCTTCTTCAAGAACAGCTGCACTCGGACCAGCTCACATAGGCGCTGCACACAAGTCAGGTACCATGGTATATCGTGAATGAGTCCAATGCTCCACAACACTCCATCGCACGGCAGAAAACGCACAAACCGTAAGTAATGTTACACGATTGGTACCACATCCCACCTTCCAAGCCTTGTCGGCCGGCAGCAGATCAAGTGCGCGCTGCAGAACAGGCGACTTCGCAGAGCGCATGTGCTTCCGACGCGCTGTCCGAATCTGTGCCATGTCTTCGTAGTCGTCGTCTTCCTCCTCGTCGTCATCCTCCTCAACGTCTGCCACTGCCGGGCCGCGACGCTGGCGCTTTGGGTTCATGCATCCCTGCCCGGGATCCCTCTGCCGCTTCGCCTTGCGCCGACGGGACCCCCCATCGGACTTCACCACCTTCTGCGCGCTCTCGTCCTGCGACTTAAGGAGGCTCCTGAATACTCCCGCGGAAATGCGCACCTCCTCGCCATGCGTGTCCACAGCATCGTTGGAAGCTCTCGCATTGCTTTCAAACATCGTGCGCATCGCGTCACCCACATCCTCGTCATCCTCCTCTTCGGAAGCGTTTATATTGCTCACGATGTGTGCCTGTATGCCCCCTTCTACGTCCTCGCCTCGATTCCGGTTCGCCTGACGAGGAGCACCGTCGCTATTGGTACGCGAATCGGGCGAGTCACTCACCAGCGCTTGTTTGCCAACCCTGCCGGGAGAAGCGTCCGATGTCTCGCCCCCCGTATTATCTGCGGACGTGGTAATGTAGGCGGTGGAGACAGTTAAATGCCGGGCAACACAAACTCCAACGAGGAAGTATGGGGAAAGACAACACTTTCACTTTCCAAACCAGGGTTTAAACAGTTAAAAGCATCGTCATACATTTCGTAAAAACTGCACATCAAACCGTCATTACCGTCACGAATTGCATTTCCGCCTCCCTCCGCTCTGGTAATGGCCAAAAGCTTTGGCACGGGCGGCACGCGAGTCCCCCTTGGCATGCGTCCCCGAGGAGTTGCAAGCTGATATGCCGCGCGCAGGTACGCCGGGGGCTGGGACACTCGCCGTGCACGCCCCGCGTTGCCAGTATCTTCAGAAGCAACGGAAGTCTCCATTGTTAACAACTGACATTGTTTGCGTGCACTGGACGCTATCCTAAGTACTCGGATTCAGCTTGCAAAGTATACGGTAACGCCTAAACCATGCTCAACATCGTCCACATCCATCGACCGAAACCGTTGTCGCCCATCAGGATAAACGCAATCAACGACACCCAGTGGAAGACGACCTCCACGATTTCTGTAATCTTGGTGAGCGAATACAATTCTTCCTCTGTTCACCGTCAACTTTCATCATGCCCCCCGTACTCTCGATACACTTTTACAGTACTCCTACATTAGTTTCTTCTTTTGCTAGCTATTTCATATCTATTATACATGCACCAGAGGAAACAACGCTGTATCAAGCTGTTAATGCCATACTTCATTTAAAGTACAAACCACACAAGCGTGAAAGCATCCTCCACCTTACCTTTCTCAACCCCATGATCCACTATCATTTCCCACTGATATCCCAAGCACCATCCTACGGCCTCCCATGACCAGTTTCATCTGTCTTGTCCTCTACAGGCTTTGCCTCTGCACCGCGGGCCATCTTACGCGGTATGCTGTTTTCTGCTTCGCGGCCAGCGATGACAATGTCCGCACTGCCAGCCTTCTCGCCTTCACCCTCCCCTACCGTGCCCCCACCCTGATCACCACTCCCCTTGCGCGGTCTCCCCCTCTTTGCACGTGTTGCATTCTTCTTTGTTCGCGCTGCCTTCAGCATCAGACCTTCGTAAGTCTCCCTCCATACCCTCCAGCGCCACCACATGCGGGCATCCACCATAACTTTCAGGATTTCAGGAGTGCACCCCTTCAAAGCTGCCTTATCTGCCGGTATTAAAGCCACGGAATTCCGGGTGCCTTTACCAGGCCTCACCACGTGGGCAGCTGCCGCGTAGCAATACGCTGCCTCCTCTATCGTGGTGTATGCGCCGACTCTCTTCGTTATCTTCTTCCCCTCCTTGTCCTTTGCGACGATCTTCACCCCATACTTGCCTGTATCGGCCTCCACATAGACCCCTGTGTACTTGGTCGGCTTTGTTCCTGGCTCGTTCTCGCCCTCTCCATCTTCCTCCGAATCCTCTCCTCCCGCCAACGTCTCCTGCTTAGGTACAGCTACGAAGCCGGGGTGTGCGCCCGCACCGCTCTGCGCCATCCCGTACACCGGATAGGATGGCTGGACTAGTGAAACCGCAGCTGCCTGCTGCCGTGACAGCAGCCAGTGTGGAACCGTCCTGGGGATTGGCAGAGGTGACGGGAAACAGGGGTACGCACCAACGGCCGTCGCGAATTTGCTGTCGAGCGACACTCTCGTGTTCGAGCCCATCATATCCTCATCTGGGCTGTCGTTCACCTGCTTCGTGTAGCCTGATGGCCGCATTGGAGTGTGCGGTCCGTGCTTGCGCCCATCCGTACCCCTCGATCCCTGCTCAGCGACGCCAGTTTGCTGCAACATGTTTTCGCCTGCTGAGATCAACTGCTCCCTTGACATCCCAAGCACACTACCAATTGTGGCGAATCCTGCAGTCATCGCACCCACCTCGCGCTTTAACGAGCACACCTCCGCCTCGAGCTGGTCTATACGCTGTTCTTCTTTCTCACGTCCTTCCGTCGCACCCTCCCTCAAAGTCGTGTTGGTGTTCAACCCGCTTGGCTGAGAAGGAACATCCAAGCCATCCTCATCTAGCTTTCAGAGCAACTCTCCCATAGCGTGAGCGCATAGATTGGCGCGCATGATGCGGCGGTACTGCAGCGCGCTGACCCCCTTGAACCACAGGCCACTCTTCACGTTGGCGAAGTCGGAGTAGACCAAATTTTTCAAGTAGTGGCAAACAAAGACTCCACAGTCATAACCGTTCTCTTGCTTGGGGATGTGGTTTTCCTGCGCGCAAAAAAACCGCATACCAGGTGGTCAATTTTGCATTTTGTATAACAACATCAGTCCACCAAAAAAACCAGGAAGGTCACACTTATGGTGAGGACATGGCAGGGAATGTCCTTCAGCAGCTGATCAAATTTCGCCATGTCTACATGTGGATGCGTCGTCCTGACCATGGTTGACAACACCCTGCGGAACATCTCGGCGTACACAGCCCGGTTACAGGCACGCATGTGCAAATAACAATAGTAGTCACGGTGACGGAAAACCACACTTACACTTTCACGCTACTAAAAACCTTCTGTGTACTCATCGGGGCCCTGGAGCTGTCGAACAACACCATTTCCAGCGGCGAGCTATCCTTCCTTGACCTCTTATCCACCAGCCGGTGGGGTGATATGACTATCACCATTGAGAAGTGCTCTCTGCATGGAGGCAAGCGGTAGGAAAGGACGGTGTTTAGTCACGCGTATAAAGAATGCATTTACCCTACGGCTCCATTCGAACAAGTCAGGTGGCTCAATAATTACCCCCTGTAGACAGGGACTGCAAGGTAGTCGTGCTCAAGGAGCGGTAGGCCGTTTCCAACATTGACTGCCGTGTTATGAGCAGTGGTGTTCGCAAAAGAGTTGCAATCGAGCGCCGCCCACGTCTTCCCGTTTGACAGCTTTGGAACACGGATGCTAAGAAGCTTGCAAGCACATGACATCGAAGGTGGGTGTTGTGCACGTACAAAGGGCCATCAAATCAATCTGACGAGCACTCTTGGCGCCACATTCACGACGCCCTCGTAGCGCGTCGGCAACGTTACTCACACGTTGTGAAAGGCGACCACTCCGTCTGTCAACCATGTGTTGTCGGCGATGGAGGCGAGGTCCTTCTTGTCGACTGTGCTGACCACGCCCCGATGATTCGTTAGCTCCATGTTGCGATATTCTACTTTGTGATAATTCTTCTCCAACGACGCCACCAGATCGTCGGGCTGAGGTAGTTCATCAGGTGCGCTTACCGTCGTGTCAACATCTTCCATAATCTCTTCCTCCACTTCTAACGCCGTCATATTATGTTGTTTTCTGTTTGTACTGGCGGTCCTTCCCATACGCGTGCGTATCACAACTACTTCTCTAACTTCCGCCTCCGAGTATTCGCTCGAGTCTTGGTTCCGCCATAGTGCTTTTTTCGGAGGCATGGTCGGCGCGAGATTAGTTCCCGGAAATGATTTTGAAAATAAGGGGTTCAATCTCCCGGACACGGGCGGAAACAGATCACTAAAACCGGTAGGGTTCCTGTGGGAGCGAATTCTCGGCAGCACTGTAGTCTATGGCAAGGAGGCAGCAGAAGTAGTCACATCGACCCCCTACGGATGCCAGATCTACAGTTGGGTTACACGATGTTCGCGCATCACGTGACAGTTCACTGAGATGATGACACCTGTGCGCCACAGAATTTGTCACAACATCATAGCTTATGCTTTTGTGCAGGCTATAGTGGGGTATCCCATAGGGGGTACAACCCAATTAGGGTTGGTACTTGTACTCACTCATTTCATAGTTCATTCATTCTCGTTCTTTCTTTCACATGGAATCAGAGCAGGTTCCCTCCTAGGGACTGCTTCTAGGGCCCACCGAAGCGCGCCCCGAGGCGCATTTTCCTTTTTTTTTAGCGACCCTTCGTGTCGCCCCTAGCGGCCCGTCGCGCCGCCCTTCCCTTTGCGGCCCCGCCGCCCTTCGATCGCGGCTCCGCCGCCCTTCCTTAGCGGCCCCGCCACCCTTCGATCGCGGCCCCGCCGCCCTTCGATCGCGGCTCCGCCGCCCTTCCTTAGCGGCCCCGCCGCCCTTCGATCGCGGCCCCGCCGCCCTCTGCTAAGCGGCCCCGCCGCCCTTCCTACGCGGCCCCGCCGCCCTCTGCTACGCGGCCCCGCCGCCCTCTACTACGCGGCCCCGCCGCCCTCTGCTACGTGGCCCCGCCGCCCTCTGCTAAGCGGCCCCGCCGCCCTTCCTTCGCGGCCCCGCCGCTTTGCTCACGCGGCCCCGCTGCCCTCTGCTACGCGGCCCCGCCGCCCTCTGCTACGCGGCCCCGCCGCCCTCTGCTAAGCGGCCCCGCCGCCCTCTGCTAAGCGGCCCCGCCGCCCTTACATCGCGGCTCCGCCGCCCTCTGCTAAACGGCCCCGCCGCCCTTCCTTCGCGGCCCCGCCGCTCAGCTCACGCGGCCCCGCCGCCCTCTGCTAAGCGGCCCCGCCGCCCTCTGCTCAGGGGCCCCGCCGCCCTTACATCACGGCCCCGCCGCCCTTACATCACGGCCCCGCCGCCCTCTGCTTAGCGGCCCCGCCGCTCTGCTCACGCGGCCCCGCCGCCCTCTGCTAAGCGGCCCCGCCGCCCTTCCTTAACGGCCCCGCCGCCCTTCCTTCGCGGCCCCGCCGCCCTACCTGCGGCCCAGCCGCCGCCCTACCTACGCGGCCCAGCATCAGCCGAGCCGCCCAGCCGTAGCCGAGCCGCCCGGCATCACCCGAGCCGCCCAGCATCAGCCGAGCCGCCCAGCCGCAGCCGAGCCGCCCAGCAGAAGCCGAGCCGCCCGGGAGCCACCGAGCAGCCCAGCAACTGCCGAGCCGCCAAGCAGCAGCCGAGCCGCCCTGGAGCCGCCGACCCGCCGGGCAACCTTCCTGGAGCAGCCGAGCCGCCCAGGAGCAGCCGAGCCGCCCAGGAGCAGCCGAGCTGCCCAGGAGCCGCCGAGCCGCCCAGCAGCAGCCAAGCCGCCCAGCAGCAGCCGAGCCGCCCGACCTACCCTGCCCGGTGAGCACCGTACCGCTGTCACTGCGTGCCCTTCCCCTACTGTGTCGCCCCTAGCGGCCCGTCGCGCCGCCCTTCCCTTTGCGGCCCCGCCGCCCTTCGATCGCGGCTCCGCCGCCCTTCCTTAGCGGCCCCGCCGCCCTTCGATCGCGGCTCCGCCGCCCTTCCTTAGCGGCCCCGCCGCCCTTCGATCGCGGCCCCGCCGCCCTCTGCTAAGCGGCCCCGCCGCCCTTCCTACGCGGCCCCGCCGCCCTCTGCTACGCGGCCCCGCCGCCCTCTACTACGCGGCCCCGCCGCCCTCTGCTACGTGGCCCCGCCGCCCTCTGCTAAGCGGCCCCGCCGCCCTTCCTTCGCGGCCCCGCCGCTTTGCTCACGCGGCCCCGCTGCCCTCTGCTACGCGGCCCCGCCGCCCTCTACTACGCGGCCCCGCCGCCCTCTGCTAAGCGGCCCCGCCGCCCTCTGCTAAGCGGCCCCGCCGCCCTTACATCGCGGCTCTGCCGCCCTCTGCTAAGCGGCCCCGCCGCCCTTCCTTCGCGGCCTCGCCGCTCAGCTCACGCGGCCCCGCCGCCCTCTGCTAAGCGGCCCCGCCGCCCTCTGTTCAGCGGCCCCGCCGCCCTTACATCACGGCCCCGCCGCCCTCTGCTTAGCGGCCCTGCCGCTCTGCTCACGCGGCCCCGCCGCCCTCTGCTAAGCGGCCCCGCCGCCCTTCCTTAACGGCCCCGCCGCCCTTCCTTCGCGGCCCCGCCGCCCTACCTGCGGCCCAGCCGCCACCCTACCTACGCGGCCCAGCATCAGCCGAGCCGCCCAGCCGTAGCCGAGCCGCCCGGCATCACCCGAGCCGCCCAGCATCACCCGAGCCGCCCAGCCGCAGCCGAGCCGCCCAGCAGAAGCCGAGCCGCCCGGGAGCCGCCGAGCAGCCCAGCAGCAGCCGAGCCGCCCAGCAGCAGCCGAGCCGCCCTGGAGCCGCCGAGCCACCGGGCAACCTTCCTGGAGCATCCGAGCCGCCCAGGAGCAGCCGAGCCGCCAAGGAGCAGCCGAGCTGCCCAGGAGCCGCCGAGCCGCCCAGCAGCAGCCGAGCCGCCCGACCTACCCTGCCCGGTGAGCACCGTACCGCTGTCACTGCGTGCCCTTCCCCTACTGCTTGCACTGCTCCACTGTCGTCGTCATGGCTACCCCTAGTGTCCTCGCTTTTGACGCTGAGGGTCGAGCCATTGACTTTGAGGTCAGGGTCGACGACTTGCAGCTGTTCTTACAGTGCGATAGAGCTGACGGCCTTTCCCTCTTTGACCTCACCTCTGGCGCCTCCCCTGCCCCTGCTGCTGATGCTGACCCCACTGTTCGCTCTCAGTGGGCCACCCTCGATGAAGCTGCACGTCTTGCTGTGCGTCGCCACTTGCCCACCACTGAGCGCGCGCACTTTAGTCAGTACAAGAGTGCTCAGACCTTGTACGACGCTGTCGTTGCACGCTACTCTTCCCCTGCCACTGCTGCATTGAGCCGTCTCATGCTACCGTACCTCTTTCCTGATCTCACTGCTTTTCCCACTGTCGCTGACCTCATTACGCACCTCCGCACTAGTGACACTCGCTACCGCGCCGCCCTTCCTACTGAGTTCTGTCAGAACATTATAGCTGATGCATGTTTGTAGGCTATAGTGGGGTAGCACATATGGGGTGCAGATTCCTAGGGTTTGCTATTTGTACCCAATTCTGACTT